AAAGCAAACATTGGCTGTGTTCGCTGGGGGAGAGGGCATGGAAGGTTAATACCTTTTACTGGGTCAACTCAAAAGAAACAAAATAGTGTTCAAGTTTTCAACTTAGAATTCTTAATCAGTAAACAAAGAAACAACACTGAGGTGGGTGGGAAAAGGGGCTGAGACTGAAGCTGTGGAGTTTCCTTTCAGTCACAATCTTAATAGTGGAGCGTAGAAGTTAGCAATCCTTCAATCAGGCTTTTCCTGGTGGTATGATGGTTCAGGTTGCACCGAGCAGCCGTCTTAATGAAAGAAAATACAGTATATACTAATTACTCCAAGTTGTGTTGGAGAGACTGTTAGAACATAGGTGCTTGTTTTGATATGAGAATATATTTACATTTTGACAATTGCTTTTTAAGGAAATAAATGAAACAACTATGTTAAATTTACAGATATGGCCTAAAGTAGTGCTTTTATAAATATTTGATAAGGAGCAACATAATTAGACAACTAAGATTTTTTATTACAAATGTATTAACAGTGGCAAGATTAATGGTAACTAGGAACTGGAAAATAAAATACCATTTTGAATTAAATTAATGGTTTGGATATAGCTATTAATGATAAGTTAATGTGTGACAAAGTAAAAAATAAACTGATAAATAAGAATAAAAACATACACACCTTTAAAAAACTAATAACATAAAATAGCAAAAACAATTATATAAAATGTTCTCTCCCTATTTCTTCACAGGATCATTTGGATATATAACTGATTTTTCTCCTTTTATGGAGCCCCATTTTCTTTCCAAAATTGCATTGACTCTTGTGAAGATAAACATCTCTTCACCTTTATTAATACAAAATTAATACATTCTCCCCAAATATCTATAACAATGTTTTTTTGTTTAAAAAATTGAAAGAAAAGAAAGAAAAGAAAATTAATTTACACAAGCATTAACTAGCCCCTCGACTTCTCTGTTCCATTGTGTAAAGTAGTGTACTTCAAATCATAACCTGAGCTATGTAATGAAACATAGCCATAAAACTGGCTCAACCAGGAAGAGATGTTAGGGCTAGCTCACAATTAGAGCTGAAAGCATATTGACATTAAAGGGGTGTTTGAGGCAGTCCTTCCAGATTTGTGAAATCAGACTTGTAAGAAATCTCATGTTTAAGCCTCAGTTTCCCCCCACCCACCCAAAAAATCCCACATGCTAACTTACCTGCTCCTAGAGGTGAGAGAAGACGGTGCTGTTACACTCGGGTGCCTTCAGTCTCCCTCTTCCAGCCATGAGCTCTCGTCTAGTTTTGTGTCTGGCTTTAGTTAAACTGGCAAAGGAACACCATGACTCCAATATTAGCAGATTCAGATGGGAACATAATCACTCTGTGAAGGTTGCATGATTTCTCAGCACTGCCAAGAACAACCACTTGGGCTTTTCAATCACTCTGAGTTGTCCAGTGGCTTGATTGGCAAAGGAATTGTTAGCTTAAAGGTGAAAATGGTTCCACGGTGATACCCATTATACCCATTCAGCAGCTTCAGACCATTTACACCACATAAGCCCAAACCATACCAGAAGACTGTCGCTAATAGAGTAAAGATGCCCCCTCTTTCTGAATGACAGGCCGTTCATGGCTGCTCTTATTTGGAAAATCCCTCTCCTTTGGAGCAGAGGGCACTGAAGTTGTAAGGTTTTTATGGCAATTGCTTCCACTGAACAAGTGCTAGAGGGACACAGAAACAGGCATGTGCAGTAATAAAACCAAGCCTTTATTGAAGTAAAGTCCCAGCATGCAAAACAGCAAGAAAGGTTGGTAAAAGAGAGACGTGGAGAATGAGTGAACAGAAGCATTAGACTGCAGAGGTGGGCATCCTGAGACCTCTGTATGTTTTGAAATAATCTCATTAACCCCAGCTAATAGGATCAAAGATCAGAGAGTCTCAGAGTTCAAAAGGGGAAATCCCACCCTTTCCCCAATATGTTTTTTAAATTTCCACAACTCTCACACCAATCCCCCAAACTGCTCTCTTTATTTTCAGGTGTTAGTTTGGTAAGGGTGGAATTTACAGAGGTGAGGTAAACCTGCAGTCAGCGCTTCCTTCGGTCCATCTCTATTGTGGCAGCAAGTGTTAAAATACTGTATGTTAAAACTTTTAACAAAAAAACCAACCACCTCTTGAAGTGCTTAATATTGTTATTTAAAGTGTCTGTACTGCTATCCAACAGACAGAGAACACATTATTATTGCTTCTGTGGTTCAGGGAGTCAGTGGGAGTTCAATTCCCCACTGTATATCCAATGAGAAAGCTCAGCCTGTGTAGCTTTGGGCAAGCTGCACAGTTCCAGGATATTCCAGAAGAAGCAAATGGTAAACCACTTCTGAGTAACCTCTACCTAGAAAACTTTGAAAAAGTGTCACTGTAAGTCAGAACTAATTTGACATGCAATTATCAATTATTCCTGCACAAAACATTCTACATTATATGTTGTTGTTGTTGTTATTTAGTTGTTAAGTTGAGTCTGATTCTTTGTGACCCCATGGACCAGAGCATGCCAGGCCCTCCTGTCTTCCACTTCCTCCAGGAGTTGGGTCAAATACATGTTGGTAGCTTCAATGACACTGTCCAGCCATCTCGTTGTCTATCGTACCCTTCTCCTCTTGCCTTCACAATTTCCCAACATCAGGGTCTTTTCCAGGGAGTCTTCTCTTCTCATGAGATGGCCAAAGTACTGGAGCCTCAGCTTCAGGATCTGTCCTTCCAGTGAGCACTCGGGGTTGATTTCCTTCAAAATGGATAGGTTTGTTCTCTTTGCAGTCCAGGGGACTCTCAAGAGCCTCCTCCAGCACCACAATTCAAAAGCATCAATTCTTCAGTGATCAGCCTCCTTTATGGTCCAGCTCTCGCTTCCATACAACGCTACTGGAAAAACCATAGCTTTGACTATGCGGACCTTTGTCGGCAAGGTGATGTCTCTAGTTTTTAAGATGCTATCTAAATTTGTCTTTGCTTTCCTCCCAAGAAGCATGCATCTTTTAATTTTGTGGCTGCTGTCACCATCTGCAGTAATCATGGAGCCCACGAAAGTTTAATATGTCACTGCCTGCAGATCTTCCTCTTCTATTTGCCAGGAGGTGATGGGTCCAGTGGCCATGATCTTATTTTTTTGGTGTTGAGCTTCAGACCATTTTTTGCTCTCTCCTCTTTCACCCTCATTAAGAGGTTCTTTAAGTCCTCCTCACTTTCTGCTATCAGAGTGTATCATCTGCATGTCTGAGGTTGTTGATATTTCTTCCAGCTATCTTAATTCCAGTTTGGGATTCATCCAGTCCTGCCTTTTGCATGATGTATTCTGCATATAAGTTAAATAAGCAGGGAGATAATATACATTATATACTGTAAGGCAATTCTAAAGTGGTGGCAGCCCAAACAAAACATTATGCCTTTGAAACTGGGCTTCAGGTAAGCACCAAATCTGGCACATTTGTAGCGGACAGTCTGCTCTTGATCTGTGCCAAATTTGGTAAAGTTCTTATAAATTTAAACTTCAGTTTTTAAAAGCCAGGAAAATCATTGTTGAAAAACAGCCACGGCAATTGGTTTGTGTTTGGGAGAAAAGTGATTGACTGATGAACAAAGGAGTCTGGTTCTGGGATTTCCCCCTGCTTAGTGTCTCTTTGTGAACAGTAGTGAGCAGAAGAGGGTATCCTCCAGAAAACCATCTTGACTGCTGCCATTGGCTATATAGAGCTCGGCATCCTTTTTCCTGCTGGCAGCACGGCACAATATTGTGCAGCTATTTCTTGGTGTTTCGAATCCTGGATAAAGAAGCACAACATCCCACAGTCATAAACTGGATTTTTTTTCAGGGGGAGTTGAAGAATTGAAATGGACTTTCACAGTCTCTGTACAAACATGTACAAAACATCTCTCTCCTGACCTGACAATCACACAATGCTTTTGCACAGCAGAGCCACTCTAATCTTATGTTTGCATCATGGCAATCATGTGAACTGCACCCAAAGATTTCCATTCTGATATTTAAAAAAACCCTGAGATCCATGCTCGCTTTCTGCGCATGTATGTACTCTCTGCTTCCTCCCTCTCTCTGGACTCCTTTGCTAGAAGAGGTGCATGTTTTAAACCCAACATGCCTGTTTCTACCAGTTAATGTGGGAAAGGGCTGTGTATCTCCCTTGCCTGCCCATTATATAACTGCAGGTGAGGTTTGGAGGGGAGAGGCAGACTGCTGGGAATGGCTTTATAAGCCCTTGCTATCACTGCGTTCTTTTACTTTCCGAAAGGGTAGATGTACTATTCTGTAACCTATTACAGTAAAAGCATCTGAGTCTTGCAGCACCTTTAAGCTTGGCAAGTTTTATTTGGCACCAGCCTTTGTGGGTTGCAGCCTGAGGGGCGTGGGCTCATGAAAACAGAGGCCAAATAGTACAGAAAGTAGGCGCCTTAACCATCCACAGAAACAAGAGTTCTGGGGTGGGCAATATTTTTGTTGGATCACTAAGACGTTACCAGTGAGACAGGCTGTTGAGTTCTTCAGAACTCTTCATTGGTTACAGATGATATAACATTTGGGTTTGACAGCTGCGCCAGATGTGACGGCCATGGCTCTCGGAAACCAGACTGTCAGCACAGTCCGAGGGAGTTTCTGCAGATTCCACATGAGTTGGTGATTTAAAATCTCTCCCCTGTGGAGACAGAAGCCCGTCTTGCCCCCTGTAACATCTGTCAGGGGGGGGCTTAACTCAGGGCTCACAGGCCTCTCTGAGGCTTGGGGTAGAGAACGGCTACATCTGCCCTCACCCCACCTCTCATATGTCCAGCTTGGAAAAGTTACTTCATTTGGCACCACGATCCCCATAATTCTCTAACCTCGCCCCCCCCATCCCGTCCTGGAAAGTTCCAGGAATCGTGAGAGGCGTTTCCCCAAGCAGCTCTGCACCTATGAGGGGAGAGAAGCTGGTCGATGCAATGCTTTTATTTCACGCACGGATTCTGCACGCCAAGTGCCGCCAACTCTTCGGGGCCGGCCCGCCTCTTGGGTGCTCGGAGCAGGGCTCTCGTTGCCTCTGAGGGGAGCGACTGCTTTCAGGCTGACCCGGGAGGTTCGCTGTCTCGCTCGAGCGCCTCAGGAGGGGCGATCATGTGGGATGAGGCAGACCTCGGTCTCGGCGGTGGGGAGCCAAATATCGGCGGGGCCGTTCAGAGATCGATTCAGAGCCGGGCCGCCTCGCTCGCTCGCCCGCTCTTTCTGGTTCACTGCGTTTAATCCGCTTCCCTGAACGGCCGCGTCGAGGCCGTGAATCAGAGCCGTCCCTCCTCATCCCACTCTTTCGCGCTCTCCGGCGATGTTCGCTTCCAAATCCAACTCCGTCTCCCCGTCCCCGTCCATGGACCCGGCCGATTCGGACGCCCTGGACATCAGCACCAAAGTGCAGCTCTACGGGGTGCTCTGGAAGAGACCCTTCGGGAGGCCCTCAGCCAAATGGTCCCGCAGGTAAAAGGGCCCCGGGGTGGAGGGGCGCCGGCCGGGCCGGGCCGGGCCGGGCCGGGGAACGGAGCGGGAGCCGGGCTGGAAGGGAAGCGCCGCAAGAGCAGGACTGGCTTCGGGAAACGGGGAGCCTCGGGCTGGGCAGGGGAAGCAGGCGGGGTCCTGCAGTCCCGGGGCAGGCTGGCAAAACGCGGTGGTTGCCGCGGGCAAGGCCGGGGAAGCCAGCCCTCAGCTGCTAAGGCAAGGAGAAGATATGTGTGTGTGTGTGTGTGTGTGTGGAGTGGGGTGAGATGGCATTTTTTTTAAAAAAAAAAACTTCGTTTTAGACGCACATCGGAGAGACAGTGTGGACTAGCGGTCTCAGTGGTGCTGGAGTAGGACTCAAATGCTGGCTTTGACCATAAAAAGTCACTTGGAGCGACACTGGCCGAAACCAGTGCGCGCGTCTCACAGACCTCGAAAACTTTGCCACAGTTGCCATACATTAGAACTCGCTTGACAGAACAGCAAGGTGACATGGCACCTTTGCCTGCTCTCCTCAGTGCCCTTCATGGAGGGGGGGCGGGGGAGAGGGGCAAGTTGGAAATCGTACTGGGTCAGCTCTGGGCAGAAATCTGCCGCGCCCTCGAGCAGACTCTGGAGCGCGTTAATTGGTGGGAGGAGTTAGTTATATTTAAACCTCTCTTTTTCTCCGGTGGGCACAAGGTGGCACACATAGCTTTAGCCTCACAACAATCCTGTGAGGTAGGTCAGTCCGAGAGACAATGACTAAGTGAATCTTGAGGCTCATTGGAGACTTGCATCTGGCTCTCCCAAGCCCCAGTCCAGATCTGGAACCACTACTGCACCACATTTTTGCGGCCATATAATTTTACTGCAGTGTGGTGCTGACTAGGACAAGGAGCTTACTCATCATCCTCTTGTCAGGGAACACAAGAGAGCTGAACAGAAGTTGCACCGAGAAGAGAAGTGTTTGCTTTTGTTTCCTAACATACTGCTAAAAAATTGTGTGAACTGCTTCCAAAATTCTTCTGGCTGCATTGCACATTGAGAGTATGGCAGGGAGGGAATGTGCTGCTCATTATGTTCCAGACAGGATCCAAGGAAACAGTCTTCACTTATCGCTTCTCTTCCAGTTGGGCTGGATTACAACTCCTAATATCCCTTCCAGCCAGTTCTCTGTGGCTTATGGCAGTTGTAGTCCAGCACATCTGAAGAGTGTCTTGCCCTTGCAAGAATGCCTCTGACAACATGGTGAGTCTTACAAGTTACCCAGCCCTGTATGTCATTACTGTACAGGCAATGCAGAAAAATCCTATGGCACAGGGGAATGAGCAGAAGGGAAATCTTGGATTCCCCCTTCTCAGACCTATGTGGCAGGAAATAATCCCCCCCCCATGCAAGAGCAGCAGCAGGAAAAGGGGAACAGCCAAACTTGCAATATGAGGGTGGTTACCTGGAGCTGACAGTGTCATTGAAGCGACCAGCATGAATTTGACACAACTCCGGGAGGCAGTGGAAGACAGAGGGGCCTGGCGTGCTCTGGTCCATGGGGTCACGAAGAATCGGACACGACTAAACGGCTAAACAAGCTGGAGCTGAAGGATGCAAGTGGAAGATCTTTGCAATAGTAAAACAGACCACAACGTTTGTGTTTATTCTCTTCCCTCTGCTTGTAAACCCCCCCCCCCGAGACGTACACATGCCTGAAGGCTCCCAGCTCCTTCGGCAACATTGTCCTGGATGGTGTCAAGATAAGAGGTAGCTCTGCTCACAAACAGAAAGATGAAAAACTAAATTTCTGAAAGAGGATCCACATGAAATAATTAGAGGTGGTGAGACGGGGAGGTGCAGTCTTGAGAACTGCAATACTTGAGTGTACTTTTTAGAGCTAAATGGAAGGAATTTCTGAGCAGAACTTAGGAAAAGTTCCTTTTTGGGACCATAAATTCTAGAATTCACAACCTGAGTTCAATCCTGATGGATTCAGGGAGCCACTTTAAGGTTGATTCAGCCTTCTGTGGTCAGTAAAAGGAGTACTTAGCTCGCTGGCGTTTTCCTTGAAAGTGTTCCTTGCCTAATTATATTGTAAACACCCAGAGAGTGCTCTAGCAGTATGGGGCAGTACATGAATAAAAACAAGGTTTTTAAAGCTTTAATTAGGAGTAACAGGCATGGTGATGGGCGTGGGGAGAGATTGTTAGAGGAATAAAGTGCTGTATGAATTACTGTGTGGCACCATCCATTACCGGGTGTAAAAAGCCCGTCAGGGATTCATGGCCCCTGTCATCTTTTGTTCCATACAATGAACATAATATAAGTTTTGTTCATCTATAATGAAGAGAAATAAGAGTCAAGAAGCTTGACATTTGTAAGCAAATAATGTTCAGAACACCATGGTCATTGCATTTGTAAAAAGAGACAAAGACTGGCATCTACCCTGTTTGCCTGAAGACATAACCTAAAAATAAGCCCTAGTATGATTTTTCAGGATGCTCATAATATAAGCCCTAACCCAAAAATAAGCCCCAGTTATGTGAAACCATCGCCTCCACCATTGTGACGCATTGCGCAGCAATCAAAAATGACATGACTGTAAAATAAAACATCCCCTGAAAATAAGCCCTACTGCGTTTGTTGGAGCAAAAATTAATATAAGACCTTGTCTTATTTTCTGAGAAACACAGTACCCCTGCGAGAGAGAATACTGAAGGACAGCAGATTTCTTTGGTGGGAAGAATTTTTTTTCCCTAATGAAACCTCTAACTGTATATGCAACTCCAGCTTCTGAGTGCCATTATTAATTGAACACAGGACTCTTCCAGATGGAGCATTTGCTGTACTTAATATACTATGTTCCACGCTGTTGCTATTGGCATTTTAATTGCCAGCAAGATGACGTAAGGCTTGTTTCAGTTAATATAATGACTTTTCCTGGGACTCCCCTGGCTTTTTAAAAAAATCCCTTCAGAAAGCTGGGTTTATTTTTAGTCTCACATTGTTCAGGGGGTGGGGTTTAGTATTGTGGCCTTTTTCATAATGTTCCTGTTTTCTGTGAGAGCTTCCCAGTCCACAGCTTTTAATTAGCACTCTAAACTACTGTAGTTTCCTCTCTCCACCCCCCCAAAAGTAGGTGCAGTGAAAAAGTACCAGCAGGGAGGTAGAGTTATTTTATTTATCTCAAAACATTTCTTGGAGATTTCTTACAGAGAAGCATCTTTCTAAAAGAGAGCAGAAGTAGCTTTTCCATTAAAAAAGAGAGAGAGAGAAACACAGAGAAAGATGTGGATCCCAGTAAACTACGTATGCACTCCTTCAGCACCAAACAGCAAATGAATGAGAGTAACACTGTTTCTGGAAGTGGTCCCAGTATTGTTGCTAGACATTGTCTCTTTCCAGCAGATGGCAGTTCCCAAATATTTAGATGAATAGTGGCACTGACTGAGAATAATGGGAGGTCAAATACTGCCCCAAAAGGGGCAATGGGAGTTGTAATCTATAGCAGTGGTTCCCAACCTTGGGTAGTTCCCAGAAACCTCAGCCACCACAGTTGGTGGTGAAGGCTTCTGGGAGTTCAAGTCCAAGAACATCTGGATTAGCTAAGATTGGGAATCACTAATCTAGACAGTCCCAGTTTGAAGACTACTGATTTGTGCCTATGTAGCAAGAACCTGCACTGATTCAAGTTACAGCAGGATACTTTTGTAGCACTTAGAGCAGTTGGAAGTAAGTACCCAAGAAGAATCCGAAGGAGTTAGCTGCAAAGAATACAGAATCAGGCGAGACTACTTCAGAAACAAAGCAACTCTTACAGTTGCCCAGCAGTTGTGCCAAAAGGAATTATCCATAATTCCAGTATGTTGTCAGCGGTGGATGGGTGTTGGAAATGTCTCCAATGGGGAGATTAAGTACCACATTCCTGTCTGTTTGGCCGCCAGTCACAGTCACCCCTAAAGGCTCTTATTAGTATTTTTGGGGAAAGAGATATTTGGATTAGGACCCTGGCACAGGGAACAGGAGAAGTTGGTTCCTTTGCCCCACTAGGGCCCTGATCCAGATTAGTCCTGCACCTGCTATTTCTATGGAAAAAAAATTCCTGGGAAAAGCTCCATTGGTGATAAGAAGTGCTCCCCATAAAAACAAGTGAGAGGGCCTGTAGATCAGGAATACTGCAGTGCCAAAGGATTTGTCCTACCTCAAGTGGGAAAGGGCCAAAGGATTAACCCCTTGGCACACACAAAGGGTTTCTCCAAAGAGAAAAGAAAAATGAAAGAAAAAGACAGTGAGATAAATGAACACCATGCTTAGCTTGGTCTTAAATGCCCCTGTTGCTCTGCCTTGCCAAATTCCTTTTTGGCATACAACCTGTTTTTTTAGCCTCTACGTGACTAACAATTGCTCTCTCTGTGGTGGGAGAGAATGAAGAGAAAGAAACTAAGATTGTATGAGACCCCAGATTCACAGTTAGAAGCACTGTCATCTTAAGAAGTAAAGGATATTTGTTTATGTTTTTAAGTGGAACCTGAAATACTGTGGGTGACTTTACAACTCCCTCTCCCCAATTAAAATCTATTCCAACACTTGCTAATGATTCTCCAGCATTCAGTACATACTTCTTTTTACTACAACTGTGACTGGTTGTGTAAACTGGTGCCTTTCCCTCACCAAGAGTGATAGCAAGAGATCCAAGGTGAGAGGAGATGAGGGAAAACAGCAGAAGTCAGAGGAAAGTATCCAGAGAGGTAAGAAGACAGTTCAGATTAGAGGGTAGCACTCGGGACGCAAGCTAGTGAAGCAGCCTATGGTTGATCTGAGGTAAAAGTACTGGTGGAAATGTATTCACGAAGACTTTCACTCTGAGTACTGTCCTCTGAAGATGCCGGCCACAGAGACTGGTGAAACGTTAGGAAGAACAACCTTCAGAACACGGCCAAAGAACCCAAAGAACCCACAACAACCATACTGGTGGAAAGTTGAGATATTCACTGACACATTGCCCACCTCTG